ATGGAAAATACATCAGAAAACTTATACTTATCTAGCGGTCATAAACCAAAACAAACATTTACAAACGGCGTTTGTTCTCATGTCTTGAAGGTTTTCTTCAGTCAAAGCAAATCAGTCAAGAAACGGCATGATATTTGGGTTAATTCACTCAAACCCATGTTGTTTTAAAGAAAACATACTAAAAACTACTTTAACCTAACTTACAGAAAGTTCGGGAAAGTTTTTGGTAGATAATTGGGGATTTTGGCTACAAGTCATGGAGGCTGACATCTTGCCAAATTCCAGCCAATCAGAAAGCGCCTAAATCCTTCCTATGTTATACCGTTTGGGGAAAAAAATTTCGCTGCCGGGCCAACCAATCACCGTGATTACAACCACTGGTTAGTGCTAAGAAAATACTTAAATTACTGTTTTGTTGTTCTCAAAAATGAACATATAAATAAGAATATATTCCAAAGTATTGTTAACATTTTGTATAAAATTTTCATAATTAAATATTTCTTTTAGATATTTTTATTTTGAAAAAAAATGTGGTCAATTATGTTAAATATTACACCATGCATGTAATTACCATTAAAAATTCTGTGTTCTTATCAATGTCAGTTTTCAAAATATGTTTACAAGCAAATTTTAGCAATTCATTACTCTCCTTGTCTGCAGGAAGATATGATGTGTTCATGCCAGTCTATAGCTGTACATCTTGCCAGGAGACTGCTACGTATGATATGCATCAGCTCTTTGGTTGTGGGTACTGGATTGGTACACCAGTTAGACCCAGTACCATATACGACATTCAGTTATTTCGATTATGGAATGACATCGTCGCAGTATCTCCAGATTTTCCTGCCTCTCGACTGAAAACTGTACTGGAAAGAGTTGGGAGGAATCATGGCAGGGTATGAATATATATTATATATTTATATATTATACTATGTAAAGTTATATTTCAAAATGACCTTTTATTGTTAATGATATAGGATTACACACACACATATATATATATATACAAAGAATATAATAATGCATTGCCTAAAATAGTCATTGTTAAAAATCTAATTAGAATACATTGTTGTACCGAATTGCAGAGGCATTGGTTTGGCACCTTTTTTAAAGGCCTTCCGGGAGTGGCGGTACTGTCACTATGATAAGACGAGGCTTATCTTAGACCCATTCTGTTGCCTTGCATGCACTCCTATACAGTTTGCTGCACACGCAGTAGTCATTATTAGCCAGATGAAATCTACTGTTCTGCAGTATGTTGTGCAAAACAATAGTTGCTTTCACAACTATTTCTGCAGCTTCAGGGGCAAAATTTATTTGCCTGTGGTATAGATGATCCAAACACGATTTCGGAGATGCGGCGAGCACGAGACAACCTATAGTTGAATATTCGCTTGAGAAAGAATTCCATTGGCCAATTTATGGTGAAACTCTCAAAAGAGGCAGAACTTTCTGACACCTACACAAACCACTGTGTGTGCGCAACGACAATAACTGTCCTGAATAATGTCGGTTTCAAAGACAGGGATATTGTTTCTGTGTCTAGGCATCGGAACGAGAAATCACTTGCAAGCTATGTTGCTGACACAAGGGTGGACACCAAGCGCAACATGTCGGATGCTTTGAGCACTATCACCAACAACCTGAATGCTGTTGTTCCAGTGAAGCCAACTTCTACCTGTAGTCATTCACCAGTGAATCCATGTGCCAAGCCATCCGTCATTCAGGATGAGTCATGTATAGACCTTTTGGACTGTGACGACTCCGTATTGTTTGACGCCCTCAGTGAAATTGACAACCGGAACAAAGTGAACGAAGTATCGCTGCACACCCAGAACCAGCAAATCCAAAATTCAATGAGTGCTCCATACTTCAATTTCAATAACTGCATTGTCAATATGTACAACAAGTGACTGTTCTAAATCACGTATTGATGTTGACGCTTTCAATGTGTATTCCAAAGGATACTTGGACAATACTTTTATTCCAATGTTTATTCCAGTTGCAATGTGTTACGTTTGTGTTTTAATACAAATTGAAATTGTTCGTTTAAGAAACTTTGTCTTATTCACTTCATATTCGCCAAGTAGATTGCAAAGTCATGTGATGCACTAAAAACATTATTGCCTGTTGTTGGGGGCAATAATATATAAGTATGTTGCAGTAAGGTAACCCTAGATGTCGTGTGTGTCATGACCGTCCTCGGTAGATTATTCTCTGGGTTATTGTTAGACCGAGTGTTTCAGGGCTTGCCATAGTAATTCGGGAGGCTATGCTGAGTGTTCCGCCCGGATTGCGTCATTTTGGTCTGCGGGTCAAGCCTTGTGATGCCAATATATCCGGGGAGTTCCCCTCTTCCAGGGTGTTTTCTAATAATACTACCTCACCTTGCTTGAACGCTTGGTAGTGGTGTAAGCTGCGGCTGGACTAGTTTTTAAACGTCTGGTTTTCCGCTAAGGTCCTGCGCACCTTTGAGCATCTGGAGCTCCGTGGGGGGCCAGGATGACAGTCTCTCGCCAGTAGCTTGTTACAAGCGGACTTGTAGGGGCTCTCGGAGTTCCTGATCCATGGCTAACGCAGATATAAGGGGCCACGGGGCAGGCCATATTGCAGGGTAGGGACGGGGTGCAGGTTCCATACTGCTACGGACCCGTGTCGGTCCGCCAAGCGACGACCCCCTTCCGGTCCGTGGAATGTTGCACCGCACTGATTCGGGCATCTGTTAGGGAGCACCCGAGGTAGTTGCGTCACGTGTGTTCTCTAGCCGGCTGGTACCGCGCTACTCACCCATGGGCATTCAGAATGATAACCCTTGATCGGAACGAATTTTGGGTTTGTTCCCCATTAGTGTTGGAGTTTGAGACAGATTCCGGAGTCCAAATCACGTGATGGTTGAGGGTGTGGTTTGTAAAAAAACTCTAGGCTGGTAGGGGAAGGCCAGGACGGTTTGTTCACCGAAGTGTGTGCGTCAAATAGTGTGAGTTACTCGTTTCAGGGGGATGAAAATGAGTACGGCAGATGACGGATTCGACCACCGCGATTCCTGCGGGAGGCTAGTAGGTGAGGAGGAGCAAGGTGAGTTGCACCAAGCACTGTGATGAGCTGGTGACTGGTAAGGGTAGCGAGCTCGCGTTTGCGCAGACGTGAGCGGAGAGATGACTAAAGGTGTACTTTCTCCATGGTTTGTTTCAGTGGTTACCGTGAGACGGTATGTCCGGGGCGGGCATGTCGCCAGCCTCATCTGGCGGGCAGATAGAGAGGGAGACGACGCAGCCGGATGGAGGAGCTGCGCCAGAGGGGAAGGAGACGACGCAGCCAGAGGTAGAAGCTGCGCCGGAGGAGGAGATGACGCAGCTGGAGGGAGAAGCTGAAGACGACGCAGCCAGAGGTAGAAGCTGCGCCGGAGGAGGAGATGACGCAGCTGGAGGGAGAAGCTGCGCCGGATGGGGAAGGAGACGACGCAGCCGGAGGGAGAAGCTGCGCCAGAGGAGAGGGGGATGATGCAGCCGGAGAGAAAAGCTGCGCCGGAGGCCGAGGAGGAGGCTAGGGAGAAGGAGCTGCTCGGCGAGGAGCCCATGGAGCTCGGCGATAGATGGGAGATGCCATTCGCGGACGAGCTGCTGTTGTCCCCTCCGGCAGAGAGCGACCCCAGTGGCAGGGGTCAGGTCAACCTCCCGGAGAAAGCACGCCACAGTCGTCGAGACCACTCGTCCGGGGAGTGCGACCCCCATCGTGGAGGAGCAGTGCCCTGCACCAGGGGTTCGGGACGGCCTGCGGGAGCCACCCCACCCTGGTCTCCGGCAAGAGGGAGTCGGGCCCGCGCTGGTGGATGGGGGCGGGGCAGGAAGGTGCGGAGAGCGGGCGCGTGTAGTAGGGTTCACAAACCCCGTGCCCCGGCGAGAGAGGCGCAGCCGCAAGTGCAGAGGCGCTCCCCCACCAGGGTGCAAATCCTGGGAGGCGGGCCCGCTGTACGCCGGTTTCGAGGGTCGTCGCGAGCCAGTGACCTCCCTGCGGAATGAGGCATGGCACTGGTGTGTCCGGTCCGGGGTGCCGACCTGGCACGTGGTTGATCACCACGCCGAGCATCATCTGAGTGAGTGCCTAGTCGCGCAGTGCCCGGTCCAGAGGTGTGACCCAGGCGTGGTGCTCTACCGCCTGTCACACCACCTGGCGACTGACCATCGTCTAGGTCGAGTCTACCGGATGGGCACGGACGGAAGATGGCCGGAGCAACACACCCGTACCGCCGAGTACAGGGAGTGTGCGAAAGGCTATCTCCGGGAGAAGACAGCGCTGGGGCCGAGCGCCCAGAAGGTGGCGCCGGCGTCACCAGCAGCCGGTCGAGCCATTCTGCGCCCGACGCGTAGGGATGGCCGAGCCTACGTGCAGGTAGTGGCTGGCACTCCGCCCAGGCCTGTAGCCGCGCACCGGGCCTCCTTGAAGCGGGAGGCGCCCAGCGCTGCACCTTGGAAGGCAAAAGTGCACGCTGCTGGTGTAGCGCTACCTGCCACGGGGCACACAACGTCGATCGCCACGGGGCACACAACGTCGATCGCCACGAAGCGCCCAACGTCGGCTGCCACGGAGCGCACGACTACGGCTTCAGAAAAGCGCGCGTGTTGTATCGGGTATGCCGATAGTGCCAACGTAGCACTGATCGGCTAATTGGAAAACCAGTCATAGCTAACAGGTTCATTTATTGTTACGTGGTCAAGTTTTTCTATCAAACTAATTCTTTTTATGAAATACTTAAAGGCCGTACATTTTTTTGTTGCAAGTGATGTATAATTTATGTCAACTTATCTGTTATATGAAAAATGCTTAATGTCTGCCCCGCCGCAGTAGATTACCGGCCAGCTCGACACCTCCGTAGCCGCCCCCACAAGATGAGGGGAGGCTACCGGCAGGACCAGTGGGTCCGCGTACCTGAGGGAGACAACTCATCATACAGGGACGTCTCCATCAGGAACCTCTCCGGACCCACCGATAGAGCAGTCAGCGGAAACGGGGGCGACGACTCTCGCCCCCGCTCCTGGCGCAGATCTACTGCAGAAGTGTGTATTGTGAGGAGGGTAACCTACTTGACTCCAATGTCATTCGATACCTATTCAACCATGCATGCTGGTCTATAATACAAACAAAAGCTGGTAAAGTAAGAAGGGAAGACGTCAAGAACCTTGATGCCTCCATATCAGCTGTCATTCTGCAGTGGCAGGAGAAAATCCTTGTCAACAAATTTTTCACGTTGTAGTAAAGTCACAACTGTAAATTTGATCACGTTGTGCAGCGAGCAGGGAATGGAAACTTGCAGATGATGTCTATAACATCGAGTTTACTTTCTTCTTTCGCACAGTATTCGAGCAACCGACGCAGGCGTTTCCCAGCGGGAACCGATCTATAGTCCTACGGGTCGTTGGTCCTACGGGTCGTTGGTCCTACGGGTCGTTGGTCCTACGGGTCGTTGGTCCTACGGGTCGTTGGTCCTACGGGTCGTTGGTCCTACGGTTATTAGTAAGAGGGGTAGAGTGAATGACCAATTTTTTTTTTAATTGTTTACATTTTCTTTAAAAAAATAAATTTCAAATTTTATTATATGTATGTCGCTTTTCACATATGGATTGAGAGTATGCACGGCAGACAGGAGTGGAGGAGGCAAAAGAAGAAATTCAATCTCTTATAAACTATTTAGTGTCATTACCCTCGAGACCTTATCACCAACTATTTCATTCACGCCACGAGCAAAATTTGCGTTATGTTTTTGGTACTAGTTTGTTGCCTTGGCTCGAAATAATTTCATTGGCCAGCCGTTGGGTTTTGAACGAGTACACCAGTTTAAGAAGTGCTGTGGTACACTACACAGGCAGTCCAGCTGCTGTGTAAATACGTATATTTTTGACCAGTATAATTATTTTTATCTGTTAGTGTTCATTTATTATAAGTTTAATGTGCATGCAGCGTACTTATTCTGTATCGGTGCATTGTAGGACAGCATTGGTCGTGGTTATTAAAAATTAAAAAATAAATTTTTAAAAAAAATAATCAATAAATTAAATTTAACTTTTTTTTTAAATTAAAATTAAATTTAAAACAAATAAATTAATTTAAAAATTAAATTAAGGAAAAAAATAAGTTTAAATTAAAAATAAAAATTAAATTAACACAACAATTAAAGAAAACATTAGCGTGGTGCCTAGCGTGCACCGTAGGACCAACGACCCGTAGGACCAACGACCCGTAGGACCAGCGACCCGTAGGACCAACGACCCGTAGGACCAAAGAACTGTAGGACTAAAGAACTGTAATCTTCCCAGCATGGTGGAGGATTCGGATGTGGAGGCTGAGGAAGACGATCTGTCGCTACTTGATGCTCGCACGAAGCTGTGTATCGGCTCAAAACTCGTGTAAAAACTCGTGTAAAAGCTCGTGTAAAAACTCACATGCAAATTTTAATGTGATGAAAACAACCCTGGAGGCGGAGGGCAGTGTGCTGGTCGACTGGTTCACAAAAAACCAGATGGAAGCCAATCCTGGAAAATTCCAGGGCCTAGCTATAGGCGAAAAAACCCACGCCCAGAACCCTGTCTTCAGCATCCAGGGCACAGACATCACATGTACAGACGAAGCAAAACTGCTGGGAGTCACCATTGATTACCAGTTAAATTTTGATTCACATATCTCAACTCTCTGCACTAAAGTTGGTCGACAAATTAATGTCCTACGCCGAATTGGCAAGTATTTAAATCTAAACTGTCGAAAAACCATCTACCAGTCCTTTATCCGATCAAACTTTAATTTCTGTCCCATCATATGGCATTTTTGTAGCACAAAAAACACCAAAAAACTTGAAAAACTCAATTATAGAGCCCTCCGCTATGTTTTTAAAGATTTTTCTACCACCTATGAGCAACTCCTAGCCAAAGACAACTCCATTTCATTACATCTCCAAAGACAGAAATTGATAGCGGAGGAAGTATACAAGATCTTAGCCAAAGAAAGACCATCCTATCTCACAACTTTGGTGCAGAGAAATGAGACAACCTACAACTCAAGGCGTAAAAATAGTGCCAAAGTTA